ACACAGCCTGCTTGGCACACAAGGATTCCTGGAACACAAATGCCATGCTACAAGCTGATGGGTGAGGAGAAGGTGCCTCCTCAAGAAGCAGGAGCAGTATGAGCAGATGCAATCACCACTTCCTTCAAAACTTCCTGGGATTCAACTTAAATGTACAAATCTGTGCATGCTCCAGGGAACTGCCCTCCCCATGCCTCGGGGAGCTTTGCTATTGCCTCAGTATCTCGTCATCCACAACTCTGGACTGGTAAAACACAGCAACATGAAGTGTGTCTCTGCTCGTTGTTCTCCCTCTCTGAACAGAGATACTCACACCAGCCTGACCCCTAACCCCCCCAAAATCCAAACAAACCTCCTTATGATGCTGCTGGGCTGAACCCTGCTGATCCTGCTGCTATCTGTTCCCAGGAAAATGTCTGTTTTGCAGCCTGGGGCTCATTTCTGTGCTTCACATCCCTAGAATATTTACCAGACACCTTGTCAAAGCTGATGATCTGGTTCATGAGAGCAGTGGAGAGAATGATCTCATCAAAGACAGGAACGCTGCCACCAACAAGGCCCGTGTTTCCCCCCTGAGGGTTCACTGCCAGGTTCCTCTCATAGCAGTACCTGGAAGGAAGAAGGTTTCTGAATTTTTATGCATTTAAAAGCCATAATCAGTCTGTCAGAGAAGTTTCACCTCTACATGAATGTCGACTGTTGTGACAGTGCTCCTTGAAATTAAGCAGCATTTCATCAAAAGATTAAATAGATGGAAGGAGAGTTACAATGACAAAGTGAGAAAGTGCAGCTCCTGTCTGAACACAATCGCAGTGCTGAGCAAAGAACCAACACCTGAGGTTAGCCCCCTGTGTATCTCCACATCTGGCACACAACAACTGCCTGGAAAGCCCTACTTATGTTTCTGCAGAAGCTGCTTCTGCAGCAGGCTGTTTTAACAGCTTGGGCTCCCCAGTGGGCTCTGACAGCCAGCCTCTGGCAGTGGTTTCAGACACGACTGCCCTCCTCCTCCCAAGAAATTAATGCCCTGTAGGCAGCCATATGTGCACCTGTGCCTCAGCTGCTCCACCTGCCCTATCCCTGCCAAGCACCACCCACCACATCCCCTCTGAGCTCACAGCAGCTCCTGCACAAGGGATGGCACAGACCCCACAGCACCAGAGCTCCTTCAGAAGCCTTGCCCGCCCTTCCTGTGCTCTGCATCCCTGTTTTAACAGAGCCAAGAGCACGCTCCTGCAGCTTTCAGCTCCTCAGCCAAACACTGATCTGGCACAGCACTGCCCAAACAGAGCTGTGCTCACACCAGTGTGGATAAAACAGACCCTCCAACTGCCTGGTTCTGCCCTAACCTTCTTTACCTTTTCAAACAGACCCTCCTGAATCTTTCACAAAACTTCTCTTTTCTGAGCACCTGTACAATACCTAATGTCAGCCATTTATCAGAACAGAAAAATCATTAAGAAAACTGCCTCAGCAACTCCAGTGCTTAAGCAATGGGTGTCTGAACACCTACCTACAAGCTCCCTTCATGCACCAGATCATCCCTAACTCAACCCAAGTCTCCTCAGCACCAAGCCCAGCAGAAAAGGTGTGTGTTACCTGAGAATCTGAGACACCTCTGCCGTTGTCTGGGGCTTCAACACCAGCTGACTGCAGCCTGCAATGAAAGCAAGGGACTCTCAAGGCAAGCTGTGGCTCTGCAGAGGTCAGAAAGAAACAGGTGGGAAAACATAAGGTGGGAAATAACAATGCTCCCTCCACCGTTAGGCATTTCAACCACTTGGACAACAAACATTTCAACAGCAGCCTTGCCCTTTGAGCCCTGCAGAAAACTTTGCATGTACAGGTAGACTTGACTGCCACTGGGGGAAATGGAACAGAGTTTAAATTCTCATGCAATCTTTGACAGAACCAACAAATAATTCACAATGCTTGGTTTAGAATCACAGAGTCATAGAACGGTTTGGGTTGGGAAGGACCTAAAAGTTCATCTCATTCCATGGGCAGGGACACCTTCCACTGTCCCAGGTTGCTCCAAGCACTGTCCAACCTAGCCTTGGATACTTCTAGGGATGGGGCAGACACAGCTTCTCTGTGCCAGGGCCTCACCTCCCTTACAGGGCAGAATTTCTTCCCAATATCCCACTTAACCCTGTCCTCTGGCAGTGGGAAGTCATTCCCCTTTGTCCTGCCACTCCAGACCCATATGAAGAGTCTCCCTCCTTTTTATAAGCCCCCTTAAGGTACTGGAAGGCTGCAGTCAACTCTCCCAAAAGCTTTCATATTCTTTTCTGAGGTTCAATCAAAACTGTTAGCTGAATCAACTCGTCTCAGGAAAAAAAATTAATTATTAAGTTAGAGGGTTTAGATTTATTTTTAAATGAAAGCCTATAAGTTTACAAGGTATCAGGTGATTTTTAAAGGAGTAATTTTATGAGTAAAATTCATTTTGAAGCGGAGGCACTCAGGTGGTCTCTGGTGAGCAGTGACAGGACCCGAGGTGACCTGGAGCTGTGCCAGGAAAGGGTTAGGGCGGGTATCACGAAATGATTCTTCCTCCAGAGGGCGGTCGGGCACTGCCCAGGGAACGGGAGCTGCCCGAGCTGCTGCAGCAGCATTTGGATAAGGCTCTCAGGGATGCACAGGCTGGGGCTGTGTTGAGGGTCAGGAGTTGGACTCGATAACCCTCATGGCTCCCTCGCTGGGAGGAACTGCGAGCCGTCCAGATGCGATCCGCCATAAACCAAGATCCCCTTTGGCAAACGTTGCTCCGGCGCCTAGCAGAGACACGAGGGATCTTTCGCGGCGCAGCTTCGCTCACCTCGCACCGACCTGAGCCAGTCCACGTTAAACGCCTCCGCCTCCTCCTCGCCGGCCAGCACCCTGCCGGGCATGAGGCGCTCGAAGAAAGCCACATCGCGCTCCTCCGGCCGGGCGAAGGGCAGCCGCCTCACCGCGTACCTCTCGCAGGTCCGCACCACCTCCCGGCAGCCGGCACAGCCCCGCAGCACGCCCGGACCTCTCCCCTCCTTCCCTCGGCAGCGCCTCAGCCAGGCGGCCCCGCGCCGCCACAGCGCCATGGCGAACAGCCTCATTCGGCCCTGAGGGGGGAGCGCAGCGGGGGAAATTCGGGATTATCCCGGGAAGAGCGGAGATTCCAAGGACGCTGCTGCGTGTGCGCTGGGAGCGCCGCGCGCCTCACTCCAAGCCGCCAGGGGGCGCTGCCGCCCGCCCGCGCTGAGCGCGAACGCGCTCAGCGCGGGCGGGCGGCATCGCCCCCTGGCGGCCGGCGGTTGCAACAGCACCCCCCTCACACATTTATTTCCCAAAAATACTTTTATTTATAATATAATCCAACATCTCCAAAAAATACAGATATACTTTTTTTTTGTTTGTTTTAAACTTTACATTCCTCACATTTTTTTTTTTTCTGTCGTCTCAGTAATTGGGTCTCGTCCAGTTTGGATGAGCTGCGGTAAAGCCGAGCCCCCCTCTGGCGGGGTTTTCGGGCGATGTTTATTGGGGCATTTCTTTAGGGGGATCACCCTTCTCCGGGAAATATTTAACACTGTACATTCAAAAGTCAGAAGGGTTAAATCTTTTAGTAAGCAAAAGTGAAGGCTGCTGGTATTTCTGTTTACAAGGAGTCGTAAAAATTCTCTACGACCAGGTGTAAAGAGGGCAGGAGATGCTCCTGAGCCCATCCAAGCCCTGAACTGGCATGTTCCCAGTGGGAGAGTTTATTGCTGGTATCAGATCTCAGATGCTTTACACATCACAGGCATTGTAAAGAACAGGAGAATGTTGTACCTCAAACTATTTATCATTCCTAGCAAATTATCCTTCCTTTTGAGGGCTCTACCTTCCAGAGCTTGGTTTCCTTTTTGCTTTGCTGGTTTCAAGTGGAAAATGCTCTTTGAAGCCCCAATAGTACTTCTAAAAAATGTGTTTTGTTATCCTACCTGACCAGAATTTTAGAGCTGAGGGAAGTCGGCTCCACACTGGCTCACCCAGAGCAGCTCTCTTCCCTCATGGCATGTTTCCAGCAAGATCTCCAGAGTGGAATTTTGAGATTGTTTCAAATCAAATGCTTAATCCACAGCAATACCAGTACTAACATAGCTTAGGAAAAACAGGAAAAGAAGTTGCCTACAATACCATTGGGTGGGAAGGGGAAAACAAAACCTGGGACAGCATCAGCATGGTTTTTCAGGACACAGCAATGCTCCAACTCAGCCCAGTGCAGGGGGTGAAGGAGGAGCAGCTCTCACCCTCTGAGGACTGGAGCACAGGCTGGCTCAGCAGGTATCACATTTGCTCTCATGAAGAGGCAGGAAGAAGAGGTCTCGTTGAACTCCAGGTTTCAGTGACTGTGCTGTTCCTCCTCCTTCCATCCAGCACTCTGGCTTTGATTTCCCTGCCTGCTTTCCATGTGCCACTCTGAGGCAGCAAGGACAAATGTGCATCATTTTCATGCACAGAACTGTGGGAACTTCATCTCTCCGTGATGCAATGTAGTAAAGACACCTGCAACATCACACTGGAAATAACAGGACCCTGAAGACAGGGATTTTTTTCCCTAAAATCCATCCTTTTTTCCCTGCCACAAATCAATGTTCATGGAAAAGCTGCCTCACAATTGAAAGGTTTCTTCTACATCAGCAGCAGGCACAAAGCCTGACAGAGGCAGGAGAGGTGGCAGGAGCTGTGTTCTACTTCATTGCAAACCACGAGTAAGAGGCTCAGTGTAACAGGAAAAGCCTTCTTTCCTTTGAAAACAGGTGCCAGAATCTGAGCAGAAGTATTTTTAACCTTCTGTGCTGTTTTTTTCAGCAGAAGAAAAGTTTATCTATCTGGGAGTTTCTTTATGGAAACTCCATAAACTCCAGACTCCTTTCCAGCAGTCTGTACCAAGAGCTCCTGCACACTGGTATGGAAAGCAGCACACAGCCCTGCACAGAGCTGCCACCAACACCCACCAGGGACCAGAGCCAGCAAAGTTCATGAGTTGGGGCTTTGTTTTCTTCCTTCCACCAACAGGAAGGGAACCTGGAACACATTTCCCCACTATGTTTTCACCGAAGGCAGGTAAGCCTCATGATGCAGGAGACATATGAAGACAAGAGTTCTCTCTGCTCTTCCCTCAACTTCTGTATCTCAGAGGAAGGAAAAACCAGAGACTTGCTTTCCAGCTCCTGATTTCCTCTCTCTCTTCTGCTGCAGCCACTGACACTGTGCTAATACAAGGATTCACATTCATCATCTGAAAGACAGCTAGAGAAGTCAAGAACATGCAAATGTGGCCCATTAAAAAAAGACAAGAAGCTCTGTTACAACATTCCTGATGGCCTTCTTCAACAGCAGAGCCACGCCATCATGGGAACAAACAATATCCTCATGGAGCCTTTCCCTAAAACCTGATTTACCCATGTGCCACACAGGCAATCACAGCTAACAATTCAGGCCTTCATCTTATTTGGTGAATAAATCCGACTTTCTCTCTCTCCAAGAATACTGTAGGTTTCATCTTCACAGTGATGTACTTAGAGAATCTTCAGGGAAATGGAAACAGCCAGAAAAGGCAACAACCTCCCTCAGTATTATTGTGCAAGACTAACATAAATAAAATCTCCGTGGCAAAGGGATTTGGGACTCCCTCCCAAAGTCATTGTTTTAGGAAAAAACAGGAATTTCAACTGGCCACTGGATAATTAAATATCATACCGGAAAAAGATGGAGGATAGATTAACAAAAATATTCAAAGGTAATATTGCAACATGAATGAAGGAATATATTAAATTCTTCTTGCCTCAACGGTGTATCCCCCTCTAGTCCTTACTTCTTTTTCTTTCTTTCCTGAACACAACGAGGACAAAACCTGTAGAAAAGCAAGAGGCAGTAATTAGCTCCTGGAATTAACAGCACAGAGCCCAAAAGCTGTTTTTAACATTTGTGCATAATTAAGCCGGTTTCTGGCAAGCAATTTGTTAATTTGATTAAAACAGCCCATTAAATAAAGATAACAAGCACATAGTAAAACCCTGGGAAGTCTTCAAAATTTGCCTCCAGAGTGAAAGGAAGAGTTACCTGTGTCTGTTCTAAGCACAGTCACAACTGACAATAGAGCAAACCTCAGATGTAGAATGTTCATGTTTACACAAGCCTCAGGTCAAAACCTCCTCTGTTTATCAGGCAGTTTTGCTCCCATCAGTACCTAAGACTTCTGTGGAAATGGACTTTAACAAGAAGGTTTGTCTCCTCTCTTCTACCCTCATAATAATCCCCAATCACAGAGGATGCAAACCCTCTGATGAGAAGAGCCAAGCTCCTCTGTCAGGGTCACAACAGGGTTTTTAATCCTTGCTAAGGCAAACTGCAGCCTGATAAAAATCCCAAACTGAATGCTGTCACACTCACCATTTCCCTTTTGGTTTGGTGGTCAGGTCCACACATGCAAAGTGGAACCACTCGATTGGGCACTGCAAAAGAGAAAGGGAAAACCCACAGAGGAGATTCTTAGTGGCTCACAAATATTCCCATAATTTGGAATGAGCTAACTGAGCAAGAATCCCCTCCTTGGACTGTACAAGGGTTGGGAGGCAACAAACAAACACCTCAAATGCTTACATCTGGGTTGTCACAGCCAATCATCTCTCCATAGGACACCTGGTGACACAGGCAGTAGGTGGGCTCGTTGGGATCCACTGGCATGTCCAGGACATCCGAGGGATGCACTGACAGGATGGTATCAGCAAACTCAGACCTGTGGGCAAGGACAGAGTCAGGACAAAACACTTCTCAACTGCAGACAGCACTGTGTTACAAGGGAATGGCTTCCCACTGCCACAGGGCAGGGCTAGATGGGATACTGGGAAGAAATTCTGCTCTGTGAGGGCAGGGAAGCCCTGGAACAGGTTGCCTGGAAAAGCTGTGCCTCCCCCATTCCTGAAGTGCTCATGGCCAGATATGGAACAACCCAGGCTAGTGGATGGTGTCCCTGCCCACTGCAGGGGCTGGAATGCGATGGTCTTTAAGGCCCCTCCAAACTCAAGCTATTCTGGGATTTGGTGTTTCCAAGATCCAAATCCTACTTTGGAAAATTAGTGTTTTACATTATCTTCCCTAAACCACACCAAGGCTGTTTTAGAGCCTATATTACATTACCACAATCCAGTAATTAAAATAATATGGTAGGCTGCATCAAACACGATATGACTAGAAAGAATTAAGAGAGGGATTTGGAGCTGTCATGAGTAAAGCAACAGAATTATCATACAGATCACTCCTGGTTGTGGGTAGAATAACCTGTTTGGGTTTTTCCCCAGTCTGATTCAATATAGATTTTTTTCTCACTGTCAGGCATGAGTGAACCCTCTTACCCTGACAGGGATGTGCTGATATGCCAGTAGCAGTCCACAGAAACTATTTTTAGTTTCCTGCCCTCCATTTAGCCACCTGAAAATATCAGAATGAACTGAGCCCCTTTAATATAAATGCCATCTCAGAGAGGGGACATGCTGTCCTCCTTGCCTCTCAAAACCAAATCAGACTACTCAAGGCTACTTAAGACACAATCCTTTGAAAACAACTCCCCAGAATTCTCCAAGATTCCTAGAACAGCAGCAAAACATCAGTTTCTGTCCTGATGGCCAAGTGAATTTCTTTTACCATCAAGACCACAAGCAACTGTTAAAAATAGCCCTGTGACAAAAATCAAAGCAATCTTCTCCAGCTTGCCAACAGCAACAGGGAGGCTGATCTTGTCCTTCCAGTCATAGTGTTCCAAGCATGCTGAGCTTCCACATGCCAACCAAGGAGTTAATTAACAATGCTGGCCTGTCCCAAGCAGGACATTAATGAAATGGAGTAAGACCAGAACACTCTTAACACTGCTCACCATCTGGACATGAGTCATAAATAGGGTAATATGAGCCTGTGGAAAATTCATGAAGTGTCAAGCCCAAGGCCCTGGAGTTGTGCCTGGCTCTGCCTTACCCTCCTTTGAGCTTCTTTTTCTTTGGTGTATCTTCTTCAGATGTTCTCCTGCCTCGACCACGAGAACTTCTTTTGTCTTTCTGACTTCGTCCCTCTAGAAAGGAAAAACAACCCCATCATTTCAGCCTGAGCTGCAGAAACATCCCCAGCTGGTGTTCTTTTGATGCAGTTACTGTCTTGAAATTCCTATTCCATAGGTAATTGAGTAATCCTTAAAATATATATAGTTGAATACGCTGACTGAAATGCATTTTTAAGCCACAAATACAGCAAATTAAATAACAACTGAGCACCAAACCCGTGTTTGTAGTTTTGACAATAAAGCACTGCAGTATGACAGGAGAGTTCATAAACAGCATCACACTTGATTAGACATGCAGTATTTCTTTTTTCACCTCAGTGTACTTTTAAACACAGTTAATAGATTACTCAATAACTAACATAACTTTTTTCTCCGCCTCCTTGCTCCTACCCCTTATTTCATTGTTCAAAGTCATAAAGCTGTGCTGTGTTGCTGTATCCACATTCAAATGTCACTGTAATCACACAATGTTTCAGTATACATGACAGAAAATAGCACCTTCTTTTAATTCCTAATTTATCCTGAAACTAAGACTGTTATGCCAGTGCAGTTTTGGCACAGCACCCTCCTTAAAACCAGCAACAACCTCAGGATGAGACAGTGACAGTAACATTTATCTTCATCTCTTGCCTACTGTAAGCATTTTGAAGAGCATTAAAAACAAGCAGAGAACAACACACTTTCCTTCCTCCAGAAGGAACAGCCTATTTTACATCTCAGCCCTCCTGCTTTGATACTCTAAGTGCTGGAAAAGGCTCCCAGTTGTGTACAATTCACCCACTTTTCAGGCTTCGGGATCCAGGGGTTTCAAAGTCGCTGCCTTCCAGTTTATCTTTGAGATCAGCTTCAAACCGCGCCAAGTCCGCGTCCAGCCGGCGGATGTGCTTATCCACCTGCACCAAGAGGAAACCACAAACTGAACTACAAAGAAACACCCGAAAAAAAGAGCCCCAGACGAAAACAGGAAGGGCTAAAACTTGGCTGTTATCAGCAGGAACAGAGCGTGGTGGTGCAGAGTGAGGCACGGAAGGGGTACAGGCTGGGAAAAGGGAAATGGCACAGGGAGAGGGAATGAGGGAGGCAAAGGCACAAGGACCCCGTCCCTCCACAAGCAAGCAGAAAGGAAGGAAAAGAGAGGCAACAGAGAGTCAGAGCAACTCACACTAATGATTTTCAGAACAACACAAGATGAGAGGTACTAAAAATACTGGGTTTGTGCGTGTGATTTTCAGAATCCAGAGACAATCCTTGAAATGTGTTGAGCAGAGCAGTTAGGGGTTTGCCCCGGTACTCCACTGTCATGTGGATCCAAGTTTAACAATAAATACAGGCACAGGCTGACTATCATCAATATAAATTATCTTGTACTACCCTGGCTGCAATAAAGTGACTTTCAGAACAAGGATTTCAAGCCACCACCCCCAAACTGTGCTGCTGCAATAGTTTGTCATTAAATGAGTTCACTAGTTATCTAGGGCATTGATATTCCTGGGACATAATTTCCTTTTTTGAAGTATTTGATGGCAACCAAACACCTACTGCAGCTGTAGCAAAACCCCAAGCATCTCTGCAAGCCGGACAACAAACACTTAGTACAGTCAAAAGAATTCCCCTCACTCAACTTTCATCCAGGGGGTAAAACACGTGCAGATAAGAATAACTCAAGGGACAGAAGGAAAAAAAAAAGTGGAAAGCTGCATCTTAAGAAATGAGGTTTTCTCTCAAGGTCCATTGAGGAAATTTTGATGTCCAATAAACCAAGGCAAATGAGCAGAATTCCTGCTGTTTCTCCACAACACACTACAACAGCTGGCTTAGAAAAAACAAATTGTTTTCAACTAAGTGTGCCCCAAATAAATTATCAGTGACATAGAGCTGCTGGGGAGGAGGGAGTGGGGTAAATTTGCTGGCATTATCACATGGCAGACAATTACTGCTGATAAAGCCGCCTCCAAGGGGGGGTAAACTCACTAATTCTTCAGCAAAAGAGAAACCTGGTGCCAAAGGAGAGAGCTTTTTGGGGATGGCAACAGAGAGAAATACAAGATTGAGAACAAATAATTTGTTTTGGTGAGAAATTTAAGTTAGAAAGAAAAAGAAGTGAGGGAAAGCTGACACTGTGAAGCATCCCCACATGCACCACTGCAGAAGATGCCCATTTTTCCATGGCTCACCATCTCATAGGTCTGCATGGCCAGCTGCACTTTGTCATCACTGTACTCCTTACACTTGCTGTAGGCACTCTGGATCTTTCTCAGGTGCTCCACTCTCTCCTCAGGCAACATGTTCTTCACAGACTCGATGTAGGCTGCTGCCAGGCTGTCAATCTCTGCTTTCTTGTCTGGAAAAAAGAAAAAAAACCCAAAAAGCAGGTATTTTTGGTTTTCTGTTTCCACTTAGGACACCCTTCCTGACAGCTGTTATGCTGCCCTCAATTCCTTAATGCATTTTCCTTTTTAAAAACAACACCAGTAAGTTAAAGGTGTTTACTCTTTGACACTTGTGGTGTGAGTCTTTTTTCTCAAATGTCCTACAACTAACTCAGAAGTTAATGCATAGTTAATTCATAGATAAGATCAGAAACAGAACCCATGGGTTCACAAGTTTCAGCCTCTCTTCCCACATACAGAGCATTTTACTTGTTGGGCCATCACTTACAGCTCTGAGGGCTCAAAATTAGAATAATTAATGCACAGCCAGATACCAACAAAAACTTCAAAAAGGAAGAAAAAATCGTCCTGCAAGGCACACAGAAATTTAGAATTTATTAAATATGGAAACACATGGAAGGAAAGCCATCCAAATGGCCACTGAGTAAAGTGATCACACAGCTACGAATTTAAACTGGAAACAAAACCAAGCCCTGCCATGTGAGCTGTGTCCTCACAGGAAAGAGACAACCACTGCAGAGCGCTCAGCCTGAGAGAGGAACAGCCACGTCCTCTGGATCCCAGCCTCAACTGGGCTCTCCCGGCCTTTGCTTGCCCAAACACCTGCACCCACCTTCTGTTCTCTGATCCAGCTCCCGCATCAGCTGGAAGTTCCTCTGCAGCTCGCACGGCAGATTCTCAATACCTACAATGAAAACGCCACTAAATTCTCTAAGCAACCTTATCATTGGAGGGTGTCCGTGCCCATGGCAGGGGCAGGAACGAGATGAGTTCTAAGGTCCTTCCCAACCAAAGCCAGCCTGCGAGCCACGTACCGCCAGCCGCCCGTTCGGCTCAGCCGGCCCCGAGCTGGTTTTGGGGCTGGGCACTGGGCCGGCACCAGCGGCCCGGCCGAGGGGCGGCGGGGCCCGAGGGGCAGCAGGACCCCCACCCCGCCAGCCCCCGCCGCCGCCATGGCCTCACGCTCCCGCTCCCCAGCGCGCACCGCTGACGTGCCCGGCGCCGGCTGATGACGTAAGCACCGTGCCGCTCCCCCCACCCCTCTGCTCTCCCCGTGGCGCAGTTTTAATTCCCGCGCTGCCGCCACCGCCGCCCCCGCCCCAATCATACCGCTCCCGCCCCGTTCCCCGCCCCGGCCCCTCGGCCGCCGCCGCCCCGCGCTCACTGTCCAGGTAGTGCTCCAGGTACATGGCCGTCGCCATCTTGCGGCCCGCGCGCCGCTCCCCGCCGCCCGCCGGGCCCGCATGACAAGGCCCGCGGCCTCATCCCGTATGCACGGCCCGCGCGCCGCCCATTGGCCCGCCGCCGCCGCTCCCGCTGCATATTCATGAGGGGCGGGGCGGGCGGCGATTGGCGGGCGCGGCGGAAGGGGCGGGGCCGCACGGCGCGCGCGGGCATGGCGGCGCGGCGCGGGGCGCTGATCGCGCTGGAGGGCGTGGACCGGGCCGGCAAGAGCACCCAGGGCCGGCGGCTCGTGCAGGCCCTCAGGGACGCCGGGCACCGCGCCGACCTCCTCCGCTTCCCGGGTACGCCGCACCGGGCTCAGCCCGCCGAGGGCCGGCGGAGGGAGGGGGCGGGGAGCACTCGCAGCTCTGGGCGGGCCCCGCGTTTGAACGGAGGGACCGCCCCAGCCCTGACCGACGGACCTCTCCCGCCCTGGCCGGACCGCCCCAGCCCTGACCGACAGACCTCTCCCACCCTGGCCGGACCGACCGCCTCCCACCGCACAGATGGACCCCCCCACGCCCGGACAGAGCGGCCGCCCCTCAGGCGCGGCGGGCGGATAGATTCCTCCCTCCCGGACGGACAGACAGACAGACGCGCATCCTGCATGGAGACAGCTCCTTCCCGCGGCCTGTCACAGGCAGGGAAATCCAGCCCAGTATGGACTGACCTCCTATATATCCTATATATATAAATAAATATCCCCCCTCACCCTGGACAGAGCTCCTGCCACCCCTGACGGACAGACAGACAGACTCCCAGCCTGGATGGACTGACCTGGTCCCTTCAATGACAGACAGACCCCAGAGTGATGGACACCCATCTGGGAAGAGCAGACTGAAGCAGCCTGTGCATCTCCTGTCTTTCCTGCAGACAGAACCACAGAGATTGGGCAGCTGATCAACTCCTACCTGGGCAGGGAGAAGAACCTGGAGGACCACACCATTCACCTGCTCTTCTCTGCCAACCGCTGGGAGCACGTGTAAAGATGATGTTTGTTCAGTCGTGAGAGAAAAACGGGTGGTGTAGGATCCCACGGGGTTTGAGTTTGCAATGGGTACACAAAGTACAAGAATGTGATCCTGTTTAGACAGGAGAACAGGCTGGAAATGGTGTCATAAGGACTCTTACAGCTTTGGATTTAATCACAGAATCCTGGAATGGTTTGGGTTGGGAGGGACCATAAAGCCCAGCCAGTGCCACCCCCTGCCAAGGGCAGGGACACCTTCCACTATCCCAGGGTGCTCCAAGCCCTGTCCAGCCTGGCCTTGGACACTTCCAGGGATCCAGGGACAGCCACAGCTTCTTTGGGCAGCCTGTGCCAGGGCCTCCCCACCCTCACAGGGAAGAATTTCTTCCCGGTATCCCATCTAACTCTGTCCTTGTAATCTTAGATCAGATCCCACAGTTTAGGGTTTTTTTGAAATCATTAATGCCATGTGCTCCTGTGCTGTACTGGATTAAAAAATTGGGCAGCTGGGACTGAACCAGTTAGACTGTGAATTTACTCTCTTTCCTGAAGATACCTTGCTTTGCCAGGCAGTCCCTCTGAGTGACAATGCTCAAGGAATTGTGCCCAAATTTCCCCTGCAGCCAAAGTCTATGTTCAGCCATAACTGCCTGTCCTTGCTTTAGTCACAGAGTCTGTGTGTGGACGTGGGGAAATCAGTGTTGGCTGTTGTTTTTCCCTGGAAATACAGATTCCAAAATGTTCTCATTTTACAGAAAAGCTTTGCAGGTTCTGCTGTAGTGGCAGTGCCAGTTAAGCTGGGAGAACAGAAGGCACAGAAGTGAGCTCTAAGATGTAGTGTCACGAATAAAGGTGGCAGAGCATATCACAAAATCTGCTCTACCACCTAAAAAGGGAAGAGGACTAAGCTGTCCACGTTAATACAGTTCATTTGTGATCTTGCCTGGAAGCCCTGGAGCTGCCTAGAGCAGTGCCCAATGCTGGCACCCTGAGTTTGGGTGTCATGAAAGGGTATTTGGTCAGTACCTGCTGGAGAATACAAACAGCTCTTCACCTGCCATCTGCATCACAGCTGACCTCCCTTAAGGATGACATACTTGGAGTTTTAGATGAGCTCCTTTCATTTCTGTCACCATAAAGGAGTGCAGCTTTGTTGTTTTATCTCCCCCATGGTTTCAGACCCATGATGAAAGAGAAGCTACACCAAGGGATCACGGTGGTGGTTGACAGATACGCCTTCTCTGGAGTGGCCTTCACAAGTGCCAAAGGGGTGAGTGAGACCTGCAGCAGCCCCTGCCCCTCTCTCTGTTTGGGGATGCAGCTCCAGGCTGTTGGTGTGAATGGCCCAGGGGCCATTCTTCTGGGACACGAGGGATGGAAATTTCAGCTCAGATATTAACATGGGTCTACCCTTCCCAGAAACAAGCAGAGAAACTTATTTGGTGACTTTTTGTAAATCTGGGCAGACTGCTGGACTGGAAGCTGACCTGACTCTGCAGAATGATTCTGGGAGTTTATTAAAGACTCTCTGTACTTGCTCAGGCTGCTAGCCCATCAATTTGTGGAACAGAACCACATACATTAGAAGAGACCTGTGGAATTCAGCCTCCTGACATAAGCAGACTTGCTTACATCCAGCCAAGGTTAGAGTATCTTCAGGGATGTATATCCATTCCTTTCTGGGTTTTTCTCTGCTCACCTTCAGAGTAAAAGTGATTCTCTTCATTTAGCCTGAATTTCTGGCATTCCCACTTGTGCCTTTTGGCCTTTCCCTGCTTTCAGAGCAAGTCAGTTCTGTCAGCCTCCCCTGGAGCCATTCTGCACAGACACTCCTGTCCCACTCCATCAGAAGTGTCCTGTTCCTGCTGAGCAGCCATCAGTCCTCTAAGAGTGGTCACAGAAGCTCCAGCCATGCTGCAGCACCAGCTGTGACCTGCATTCATTCCTGCCCAAGCCTTTCCCTGCTTCCTGGAAGGACTGAGGAGATCCTGGGCCCCCAAGCCCTGCATCCTCACCTGCATCTTCTCCCACCCTCCTGCTTTCCTGGACATTGTGTAGCTTGAGACAGATGCATTGAAACATTTAGGTGCTAATCAGGTGTCTGCAAAAGCCCCAAATTAAGAGCCAGGATGTGTAACACAAGCAGAGTCACCCCAAAACAATGATCCCAAACCCACATGGGCACAGCAAGGAATGTTCTGCTACTTTCGGGTGGGGGAAGAAGGGTCTCTTAAAGTGTCCACATTTCTTTGAATGTAGCTGGTGACCTGCAGGGCTCAGCCCATGTGGATGCCACCCTTGGGAAGCAGGGATGGCATCCTCTTCTGCTGGAAGGGACCTCCTCTGCTTCTTAAAAAGAATGGAGTTTGGCATGTTTTTCACTCAAGAAGCATTCCCAGAAGAAGGGAGATGTTGATGCCCATACCTAACACAAAAGTCTGCTGACTGCCAGAGCTCACACCCAAGATGTTGTGGCACTTCCAGCTTCTCTTACCCCCTCATGGGATTGAAAAACCCGCTGCACATACATCCCAAAAGTACCCAGATTACCAAGATACAGAACATCTGGGGAGAAACTGGAGGGCAGATGTGCCAGCTCCTCTTAGAGGGATTTAAGATGTGGATGAGCAGTAAGTGGACTTTAGTCTCAACCAGCATCATGGATTCACGTGGCCTGGTGAAAGTCTTCAGACCTGTCAGCAAAATCCAAAAGCTGGAACACTGCATCTGTTGTGTCTGGGCTGAAATTCCTAGGTAGGTAAGTATTGGAAAGGAGCCTGCGTAGGCTCAGGGAGATGTCCATTGCAGCTGTGTGGTGTTTGTGTTTGGGAACAGCTTTCTTTTGGACTGAGCAAGCATTGGAGTGGTAATGGCAGTGTGGAGGCTCAGAATGTGCCTTGGTAGAGCTCAGATGGGATCTGCAGAAGAGGCATGAAAAGCTTGCACTCTCTCCAACTTAAATAAGCACAGGTGGTGCTGAACACCTGACAAAACCTGCTCACCCCCAAATGAGCAGGACTGAATTCCCACATGGTAAGCTGGGCTATCACCTGTTCAGTTTGTAGCCTGTGCTGAGTTTTCAATTCCTGCCATCCTTGGCTGTTCCTGTCCCACCTCGCTCTCCAGCCAACCTGCTGCCTTCCTGTCTTTTTGTGTCACCTCAAACTCTCCTGTGTTTGCTTGGGGCAGAACTTCGGCCTGGAGTGGTGCAAACAGCCTGATGTTGGACTCCCAAAGCCAGACCTGATCCTGTTCCTCCAGTTAAACCCAGAAGCAGCAGCAGAACGAGGTGACTTTGGACACGAACGTTATGAGAACAGCTCCTTCCAAGAGAAAGTTCTTCAGTCCTTCTATTGCCTAATGGAGGACAAGAGCCTAAACTGGAAGGTGAGGAATTAACTCCAATGGACTTGTCAGGGACTGGGGTGGGCTCTAGTGAGAGCTCCCAAATTTTGCCCGTCACTTCCCTGTGCTGCCCCTTCCCACTTCTACTCAGTGGGACACGTTGGGGACCAGCCAAGGGCACTGTGAGAGGTGGCAGAGGACACTTCCCTGTTCAGAACACCCTGGTCAGCTCTGTGCACCTGGGATGAATCCCTAGCTTACCTGCCTCTCACACACCCCAGAGTCTGTCAGCAAACAACATGCAGCAGCAGTTTCTTCTGTTTACCTTCACCCACTCTCACATCTACTTCTTAAATGTCTATTCCTACATATTTTGATTTCTCCCAGATCCACTCCAGAAACTGCAGAGAGGTGTAATTAGCTCATTTCAGTACTCAGGAAGAATAACATATTGAGTAATGGGGGGTAAATAGATGTTAACAACAAGGTTTTTTTCATTTCTGTATTCTGTTATCTGTCCTGTATTTTTGTTGTCTTGGAAACAGACAGTGGATGCTTCAAAGAGCATTGAAGACTTGCACAGAGAAATCAAGTCCATTGCAAAGGAAACTATGGAGGAGGTTCAGAATAAACCTTTGGGAGAACTCTGGAAATGAAACTTCATACAGGTCAAAAAAAAAAAAAAAAAAAAAAAAAGAAAAAAAAAAAAAAAAAAAAAAAAAAAAAAAAAAAGGAAAGGTCACTTCTTGGATCTTCTGCACTTGGATGACTGTGACATCCCAGCAGCTACAGCTTAGATCCTGTGTATTCTTTTGGGTCCAACATGCTGCTGATGTCCTTGTAATTGTCTATTCCTCCCTTCCAGCCTGCAGAGTCCCTTCTGCATTTTTTAAATGAGTATGTCAAGAGTGTGTATCAAATTCCTTGTCAAAACCTCCCTCTCCCAAGCTCCTGTTCCAGCTCCAGTCCTGGAGTGCAGATGTGAGTGTGGAACCCAGTGCCATCCCTGGACACAGAGTTCCCATTTTTAGGGAACTGCCACGTTTCTGATCATTCTTCCTCTCTAGAAAATGCATCCCCTCCCACTCCCCCATGCTCAAACTAGTTTGTAGAGGATTTGCTAATAAACTGCTCTTTGAAACATCTGGCACAGGGCATTTTTTTTTTCAGTATGATAATTTATCTTCTAGAAGGATATATTGGAGGTGGAAGTGCTGCAGTTCAGGCACTAAATCCAAGGAAAACTGTTTGCTAGAGCTGTGGAAGAAAAGGGAGAGGTGAATTCAAGCCTTCTCCCCAGCTGTGAGCAGGTAAGAACCTGAAATAGATGGATGAGCTCATAGCAAGGCCAGTTTGGAGGACAAGTGGCACATAAATTACTTTAGACTGGCCAAGATGAGAGGAATAGTCACTTGTGGCTCCTGCACACACTCAGTGCAGTTTAAAACCAGACCAGCTCTGAATCACCTAATCACCAGAACAATCTAGAATGTAAATCATTTGCAAAGGACACTGAGAGATGGGCATGGCCAGGGGAGTTCAGGTTTCTTTGCTGCATGTTTGACTCACTTTCCAATAGGGTAGAATGCTCTGATCTCCACTAAATCCTCTCTAACTCAGAGAGAGGCAGGTTGAACTGATTCAGAAGCAGAGAGAGGAAGCTAAATATTTAAAACAACATTGCTAATACAAGTATCAGCTACAATGGCTAAAGCTTCCCTCCACAGCTGCCCAGCACTTGGCAGCCAGCTGCTCCTGGAGAAGGAGGTGAGCCCTGCAATGCTGCATCAGGCCCTGACAGCAGCACTGGGACAAGGCAACACACTGAAAAGCCAGAAATGCCTGTTAGAGATCTAAGACAGCTGAGCTTAGCTCTGTTATTGGGGTTGTGTTAACACTCAGGTAAAATCTTGTCTGGCAGAGCTGTCCTTAAACATAAAACCATGAACGTGAAATAAATAATAGAATCACAGACTGATTTGGGTTGGAAAGGGATCTTAAAGATCATTTTCCATGGTCAGGGTGCTTCATGCCCTGTCCAAGCTGGCCTTGGGGGACACTTCAGGGATGGGGCAGCCACAGCTGCTCTGGGCAACATGTGCCAAGGTCGTCTCCTGCTCTGAGAATTTCTTCCCAGTATCCCATCTAACCCTGCCCTCTGGCAGTGGGAAGCCATTCATCCTCATCCAGTCCCTCCAGGCCCTTGTCCAAAGTCCTTATCCAGCTGTCCTGGAGCCCCTCTACACGCTGGACTCTCCTGGTGTACTGCATAATACCCACCACTGCCGTAAACATGTGCAAGGACATCAGGACAGGCAAAGATTTTAGATCTGTTTATTCAGATAGAAATTGAAAGCAGATGAATGGAGCACAGCCCCACTTCCTCTGCTGCCTCTTCCCCTGACTACAACAGAGAAGAGGAGAAGCAGGCAAAAAGCAGCAAATAATAATTTAGTGACAGAAGCATTGTGGTTCCCAGTTCAAGCCTCTGCTTTTGGGTATCACAGGGACAGAGCATCAGTAGGTCAGTCACGGGGGAAACAGGTCATTGCTAGCCTGGTGGCACCACCCTTGGGCACACCACCATCATCTGACAGGTTCCAAACCTGAATGCACAAACCAAGGCCTTGTAAACAAGGTTGAAGTGTGCAGCACACACCAAGGAAACCACGGCAGCACTTCCCTAGCAGTGTGTGTGGAGACAGCTCTCCTCCAAGGTTTACCTTTCTCTTTGGAGACAAGCCCCAGGCAGAGCTACCAGCTTGAAGTAGCTAAAATTTCCAGTATAGTTGGACCTTCTCAAGGCACTCTGCCCTTCTTGGGATGGTCACCTGACAGGGGTTTCTCCAGGTTAACTCCTACAGCACCTCTGGGCTCACTCCACAGGGAGCGGAGCTGGCAGAAGCAAGGTACCAAAACAGCTCAGAAACCTACTTGGCCTTCAGGCACCTCTTCTGCTTTGGAAAGGGAATGTCTGACAGGAGGAGCTGGAGGAAGCACTGACCAACCCATCCAGGGCACCTCAAGAGGTTTTACAGCTTGGGTTTTTGGCAGCACATCAATCCCTAGTCACCATGCCAGCATACTGGTGGACAGGCACAAGCCTGGAACATGCTTGGCAGATCTCTGCTGCCTCGTTTCAGCTCTCTCAGCTCTGGACTATTTTTTTTTTTTCCAGGGCTGTGGAATTCAGTTTTCTGTTCAAAGCAGCTTTCATGAAGGTACTTGCAGTAGACTATTCCATTGTAGATGCACATGGATTAACTCGCTGAGCAACACATGCATTTTCTATTCTTCCATTCCTTCTGTTACTTAAACTGAGACTGAGATGCTCCCCAGCAGCACACCACTGCTCCACACTTATTGAATTCCCAGTCACTTAGAAACTCCCTCAACTCCCTTTCTATAGGTTGTGGAGAGGAGAGGTAGTGCTGAGTGTCCTGCAGAGCATGAACAGGAGTTGTACCGTAAGGACCTGCACTCCGGAGGCTTCACAGCTGTCTGTGGGACGTGGCTGCTGCTCCCTGGCTTTGTGAGCTGCAGTCCAGGTTGGCCAGTGAGAAGGGAAGCTGCTAAAGGCATTAACTGGACCTTTCTCCTGCTAAATGACGGGTGGGCTCTACTTAAGCTTCAGAGGGGAGTCCCCATGGAAAGATTCAGCGCTCTAACGATTTCCGTGCCTCCCCCGGAAGGCCCAGCTGACCTGCTGATGTAACAGATAGGCTTTGAACTCCTAAGCACCACTGCATCCACTTCCAGCAACTGTTTGCTGCTGAGCAATTCCAACTGCAGCCAGTAAGGCTGTAACACCCTCTGGGTTCTTCATCCCACTGCAGACACTGCGCGCTCCGCTCCGAGGCTGCACGGAATGCCAGGATGGACGGGAGGCAGGGATGGCAGCAAGCGCCTATGAAAACCGGTAGCCCCAGGCTCTCGAAGGAGCTTCCCTCCCCCCTTCTCCCCACACATACACAAATTTGCAGAGTCAGTTTCCTATTTGTTTTCAAAGGGACAGGATTTCAAAGTCTTCATCTTCCGAGTCAAAGAACCTTTCCAATCTGTCGGCATCAGAGGAGTCTGGAAGAGAAGAAGAAAGCCTCAGTGGGATGCTGTGACTGAGACCAGCAGCTGGAGGGTGTCACAATTTGAGTGCCAAGTGCCTACAAGTTCTAAAACTCAGTGACAAACCTGAGTGAGGGCTCTGAGGAGGATAAGAACATGTCAGTGGTGTGGAAAATGCCTTGGAGAGAATTACATGGAGCACAGAAGCACATCATCTTGTACAGATCCAAACACATTCCTGTTTTGTGAAACCTTCCTGGGCCCCAGTTCTGCATTACCAGGACACTGTTCTGCCTCAAGAAGCTCACAACAGAACTTGCCCAAGTCTGGACCAATACCAGTGAAGATTTCTCTCCCAGTTAAGAGATACATTTATCCCTATGTGTTAGAGAATAGTTTCTGCTATAGTTGGTTTTGGTACAAATGTCAGGAAATGTAATTACAACATGCACTCTCCTAAAAGCAATTGGTACAGTTCACTTTGTGAGGAAAACTAATGTTAGTTGATCTCACCTCTCCATCCTTCCAACGATATGGTGAAGAGGGAGCTCACGCTTAAAGGGGAAGGAAGCAACTTTAGCACAGGGGGAAGAAGGAACCTTTATTAGTTCAGGCTGGACAGTTACAGAATCCCAGAATGGTTTGGGCTGGAGAGGACCTTAAAGATCATCCAGTCCTGCCCCCTGCCACGGGCAGGGACAACTTCCACTATCCCAGGTTGCTCCAAGCCCTGTTCAACCTGGCCTTGGGACACTTCTAGGGATGGGGCTGACACAGCTTCTCTGAGCAACCTGTGCCAGGGCCTCACCTCCCTCACAGGGAAGAATCCTTCCCAATATCCCATCTAAGCCTGCCCTATGGCACTGGGAAGTCATTCCCACTTGTCCTGTCACTGTGCCCTCTCCAGCTTTCTTGGAACCCCTTTAGGCCCTGAAAGGGGCTCAAAGTTCAATTACTCCTTCTAGTGAGAAACAGGACTAACAGAAATGAATGGCCTTGGCAGCTGGGAGAAGCTGTACAAGCCAGGGAAGAGGGAGAAGGAAAAGTAGTCCATTACAAAAACATTTTTAAGAGTAGGAAAGACTACATTAGGGACAATTTAAGACAGGCAAGGATCAATTGACAGTTCAAGGGACTTGAGCATGCTTAACAGCAAAGGACAGTGTGATAATGGAAGTTTTTAAGGAAGGGCAGCAGGGAGAGAGAGAGAGACCAGAAGTGCAGGGTACAGATTGCCAGGAGGCCTCCCCATGCCTGGTGACAGGATAGGCTTGCCCATACACAGTCACTATTCTTGGCACAAGCAGCCAATGGCTTTATCTCCTGCAATGTTTGCTCATGTCTTTAATGTGATAAGCCTGACAGGCAAGGTTAGGCCCAGCAGTTGTCCTTTTTTCCACTGGTAATGGTACATGCCAAGAAGGAGTGCCTTATGCTGAACTAAGTGAGAGCAGCCCTGTCTTGGAACATTTTCATTACCTACAAACTTGGTTCTCAGCCTTTTCCCTGAACGCTTTTGATTCCTCCAAGGATCCCTTCAGAAACCACAGAGTCACACTGCCATGACAGCCTGTGAGCTTGTTTGTTCTGCTCAGTCACCATCACCACTCACAGATTATTCTAAAAATCATCCTGAGACACTGTGGGATCTGCAAACCACTATCTGAAAGCTAAAGAACTACATCAATTGACCCAAGAACTCCAGCCATCATGTAATTCCTCATGGTTTCCAGGAAACCAAAGGGACAGGCTTACCCTCAGCTCTCCTTCCCTGTGTGGCCTCACCTGGTGTGAGATTCAGGACGTCAGGGTTGGAGAAGTGTGAGGGCTGGCGTTCCACCAGCTCGAACATGGGCAGTGCTCCTCTGACCAGGGACAGCTGTGGAGACAGAGTAGAGCCATGAGAACCAACAGCTCTGCACTGCTGGTGCACTGCAGGGGTAATAATGATCTGCTGGGACTTCACTGTAGCTGGGAAAATGTTTTTCAAAGCTGCTGAATCACATCATCAACGGGATTGCAGAGCTATGCTCCTTTAGGTAGTTTAATGAACTATTTTAATACTCTTAAAATGGGGTCATCCTGCTGCTACATGGTCTCTGCGCAGTGGTTTGGAAACAAAACAATACCTAATATTCCTTTCCAAGGGACAGAGAATCAGAAAGAGAGAGAGGAAAATCGGACAATAACACCAAGATCTTCGAGTCTAACCATTCCCCCAGCACTGCCAATATCACCACTAAACCATGTCCCCAGGTGCACATCCACATGCCTTTTGAACACTTCCCAGGATGGGGACTCCACCACTTCCCTGGGGCAGCCTGTTCCAATGTCTGACCAGATCTATAAACACAAACCTTTTTGATTTGCTGGCACCAGTCATTAAAGTCTGCCTCTGTGTTGCAGAAAAAGCCCTGAAAAAAATAAAAAAGAAGAAAAATACTTTATCTTTCTATATTTTAGATTGATCATTTCAGACTTAAGGCCCTGTGCTAACACTGAGTACCATGATCAGGACTGGGAGCAGTTACTACTCCTGACTACCTTGGTTTAAAAATGTGCCTCAAACTGCCCTGTTAAACTGAACACTCCACAAAGGCTTGATGTCACCAGGCTATGCAAGTGCTGGAATCATCAACATTTTCTTTACTGCAGAAGGAAAACAAGGAGGAACAAAGGAATCAAAGAGCAGGCATCTCAGGTTCAAAAGAAAACAAGCCATGGTGCATCATCATATGGATTCAGGAATGGATTCAGATCTGCCCCTCAATCTAAATCAAAGCCCAAACTAAACCCCAGAGAAAGACACTGCTCCATGAGGAATGGCCTTTAACTACCACGCAAGGGGGACTTCCCCGAGACAAGCCACTCTCTGTGAGGAGCTGTTTACCAGTGTCACCAAAACCCAGGGCACAGCAGCACAGAGCACCCAGCCCAACACCACTGCTCTCCCTGTGGAGCAAGGGCAGCCCAGCAGTGCCCCTGGGGTGCTGGGGAGCAGGAGGAACAGGACACACCACGGCAATGGAGGGGTCGAGCTCAGCGATGCTCATCCTGCACGGAGGGTGCTGGCAGTGGAAGCTCTCGTCGGGGAGGCAGCCGCTGTCACCGGGCTCCACCACCGGCTGCGTGGTGTGGGGGTCCAGGTAAATCAGCTCCTCACCTGGGCACACAGCAAGGACACATCAACAGCAAGAACCATGCCACAAGATGAGGAGTGCTGAGATAGAAGGAGGAGGAAGAGCAATGGCAAAGCCAGCTCTCGTAACCACACAGAGGAATCCACATTCCAGGGACATCTTGCTTTCAGCCACTTCCCGAAAATGTTTCTTAGCCAGGCACAGCTCCCAGCACAACGGCCACTCCACTGTGACACCCTGGGATTGAGGCACAGGCACTATTTGGGTTTTGTTCCTGCTCATCCTTTCCTGGGTGAGCTCAAATAGACCCCAGAAATCTAAAGCACAAATAACCTGAGGTCTCTGGCAGAGAGGAAACCACAGGGAAGGAGGAGAGTAATAGCAGTTTGTAGGGTTTGAGGAACACCTAAAGAACAGTTAAATCCAGCCAAGCTGCAGAGGGAGGTCAGCTCTGAATGCAGGAAGCAGGCTCTGTGCACTCCACAGACCAGATTTTGTGTTATGCAGTGGAAGTTTATGGCCACTGTTCAAATCTACGTTACTCAGGTGAGAGGTTCAGCCCACAGCAGCCTTCCACGCTTCCAGCAGGAAAGGAAAACCCTGCAGCATGCACCACAGGCTAAGCAGGAGAGCTGTGACACCCCACAAGGATTTTTTTTAGCCAGGGGGGAGATTCTTTGGACAGTCTTTGCAGTCCTCTGGGCACTCACCTACATAGCCAATGAAGTAGTGAGCACTGTTTGGCTTCCCTCCGATCACTCCCAGGGACTGGGGCATCATGAAGCAGTGCTGGAAAAGCAACACAGAAAACACACAGCTGGCAGACAGTGAAACAGCAGGTGGCAACACAGGCAAACATCCAAAAATGCAGTGGGAAAGATGGACAGGGACATGGAAAATCAGCAACTCTAGCAGCAAAACCAGCCATTTCTGGAGAAAATCTCCATCAGGCTGCAACACAGGGCTTTCTAGGAACATGAAAGCAGCTCAAAAACACTTGTAACTGCAGATAGGAGTAGACAGGTGGACCAAATGAAAGAAGCTATGCTACTCCAGGACTTGGTATGGGCAAGTCCTGGCTCTGCTGCAATCAGTGGCAAGATCCCTGGAGCTGTCATCAGGTTGCAACAGTGCTCTCAGCAGGGAACAATCATTCAGGAAACAGTTTAAGTTCCTTATCCACCTGGAGCAGCCAAGCATGATCTACTGAGTTAAGGGAAGTAACCTCCCACAAAACTGAATCTGGAGGTCTCTTACCCAAGCTCAGAGCTTGCTAACATTGTGCTCCCTGTCTTGTGTACACCCTAAATTCTGCAGCTTCTCAATACTCCAACCTGCAGCCACCTGACAGCTCTTAGCCTCAGTCTGCAGCACAAACTTCAGCATCCGAGCCACGGGTGTGCAACACTGTATTGATTAACACTCAGGCTACCACCAAGGAGGGTAGAGCTGTGCTGAACAAAGGCTTCAACAGGTTGATACCATCTGCACATAAAGAGAAGCTGAGATCTAAGCTGTGAAGTAAGATCCCCAAAAGGAAAGAAAAAAACAACCCAACCAGAAAAGGCCCATCCCCTCAAGCCCCCCCATTTTCCTGATTACAGCTTTCAAGAACCTATATCCTGACCTCTAATATGGACTGTCTCTGAACACATTTTTCTTTTGCAATGACTTCTGAGTAATTATTTAATTCACAGCAGGATCCTTAAGCATCACCCCAGGAGGAATTCAGCTCCAGATTCCCTACCTTTAGTGTTTCAATATAGGCTTCATTGATCTCTGTGAGCCCGAGGCGGAGGGGTATCAGCAGCACCAGTGGTTTCCACAGGGCGAGCCTCTCTCTGAGCCCCACGTCCTCTGGGCACCCATTGTAGAGCACATCTGACTCCAGGGCAGGGCATGCTGCAGCTCCAGCACATGGCACATTGGACTGGCACAGCCTCCCTGTGGAAAGGGAACAGGAGCACAAAGCATCAGGACTCTGTCCCCACACCTTCAGTCATTCCTCTGATCAACAACTGCTCTTTACCAGAAGCCTACAGCACTTAAACCCAAGAAGAGCTTGAAGAGTGCTGGGGCTGTGTGATGTGTGTGCAGGGCCTCAGCTGAGCTCACACCAAGCCACAGCAGCTTGTACCACAGCAAAAATGCAAAATCTTCCAGAAAGGTGAGCAACCACCTGTGCCAACAAAGCTGGAGGGGTTGATTAGCAGGTCAGACAACTGTCCTGAATTCACAGAGTTTGTAAGCAGAAAGAGGAAAATTCTGGAGTGTCCAACTCCAGAGGAGTTAATGAATGAACTGAGGACAGCACTATGAGTTAACATAGGAAATATTCACCTGTAATTAAGTGCTGCAGCAAGAAACATGGTATCTGTCTAGAGCAGTTAAAACTTTCTTAGAGGTCACAAAAAGCTTCTTAAATTTTCTTGGAGATCATTCAGAAGCTACTTTACAGACCTAAAGCAGTATGGTCATTAAACTCTGCAATTTCAGCATGAGCTCTGCCTCTAAGATATGGGGCAGCAGAACTCCTCAGGTATACACGACATAAGCACTCTGCATACTCATCCTAAAGGCTTAACAAATACACAGCCAGGCTGTAATGCACCCAGGTTATGTAAATCCTGGTCCAGAAACAACTCCAAGCCTACTTGTTTCACTGGCCAATTTAATTACTTGCTGGGTGTGTGGAAAAAAAAAAAAACAAACCCAAAACCCAACCCAAACCCCAAACAAACCCACAGCATGATTAAAGAATCATGAAGCCAAGGCAGTTGGACAGAATGCCAGAGGCTCATTTAATTTATTCCCACCTTAGACTGAATGCCAGGACACTCTAGTAGGTAGGACATGATGTAAACAAACACCTTAATCACCAGCCATTTGCCATTTCAGCTGGGTATTTCTTCACTACTGACAGCTTCAAACCCAGCTGAATGAGGACAATATTACACCCAAATTTAGAAGAAATAGGACTTTGATCTAAAGTCTCAGGAGGAGAGACAACCTGCACTGCAATGTTTGCAGTTCCTTCCTGTACTGTTCCTCAAGAAGGGAGAAGGTGTATGTGTGCATCTGATGCACAGACATAATTACCAGAGGTTCTGAGGAAACTCAAAGTCATTATTTGTAGCCATTTCTCCTGTCAAAGCAGGCTTTTTGTTGCAGTAACCTGCCTGTCCAGATGATCTGAAATCAGCTGCCAAGCCAGGGCTGTTGCTGAATGGGGTATCACTGCAGGGTTCCTCATCCTGCCCTGTGTATGAACATATTTACCTGCAGTTTAAGCAGCAGAGAGCTTGGCACAAACTAAATTCACCTTAATATCTGGCAGGCTTTGCAGTTCTGCGGTGCCACAGCAGAGCAGAACCTGCCTAAAGCTTCCCAGCTGGATCCCAACCACTTACTGCAAACATATTCCAACAGATCTGACACGACACCTCTCCTGCTGCAGCTGCTGCTGGCAGGTACTGGCTTTAACTGTCTTGGATTTTCACTACCTTTGTGATTCTCCTCCATCTCAGGTCTAGCTCAGATGCCCTTTCTCATGGAACACTGACACAAAAGGGATAAAGATGTATGTTTCTTCATTGCTGTAACAAAAGGCATTTTCTGTGAACCTTTGGCTGAACCCTATCAGTGACAGAATTAACAGATGTATGAAACAACATTACTTTTATCCACAAAGTTTGGGGCACAAGGTATCAAACACAAACCTACAGACATGTAACACATCAGACCCAGTCACACAATGACTTTCAGTCCCTGAACAGGTACATTATGATCCACATTTGAGCAAAACAAGCACAAACACCCCAGCCCATGACAAGTTGTATGGACACGTCACTTGAAGCAGCACCAGTGCTGAACAGCCAGTGCCACACAGACAGAGCCTGCAGCACACCTGAGCCTTGTAGCCAGCATGCTTCAGCTCTAGAAGTGATATTTGCAGGCTGAAGATGAAAGATAATCCAATTTCTGTTTTAAAACTGGCCTTTGTTTAAGCCAAGGGCATCAGCACATGCCTTCAGCTAAGGTTAGGCACACACTTCTCTGTCAGGCCCAACTGAGCCTGCCTGGCAAGAGATGTGACTTTACAAAGTGACTGTCCTGCACTCCAGGCAAAAACTGCCTGGCTATTGATCTTGGCCCTGTGGTAGCCAAGCCAGCCTAAATGGTGCCTGCCACCATCTCACCTGTAACCCTACACCAGCTGTTTGAGAGCACTGCCCTGGCAGAAACATTGCAAGGTTTGTGCTGGGTGGGCTCATTGCCTCAGAAGCCATGAGAAGGCTGCTGAGGCCAGGACCATGCAGGGCTGCAGCAACCATTAGTGCAGGTGCTCAGCTGCATTTTTCAACCAGAAGGGGGGGGGATTGTCTTCATCCTAGCTGTACTACTGTTTTCTATTTGTTCAGTAACTAAGGTTTGGTATCTCAAAACTTGTTACCATCTCAATCTCTGTATTTTCTAAATATTTTGCCAGGCAATCATATTTATAAAGGCTTTCCTAGTTCATCTTCCCCAACACTCAGCTTTGTAGCTTTGGTTACTGCAGTGCTGCAGCCAGAGCAGGCAGGCTCAGGATGGGCAAGAAGACCTGCTCAGCCTCCAGAGCCAGCCTGGGGGCAGGATGCCCCAAAAAACAAACAAGAAAAAAAGAAGAAACCACCAGTGAATATTCCTTGAAATTATGAGAGTGGTGGATTCCCTTCTTATCCTCTCCCCCTGCCAATTTTGGCCCTTTTCCTCTTCAGATCTGTTCTGGCTTTCTTACTCTGTCCAATAGCAGAACCCTCCCTACCAATTATGTGACAGCCATTTACTGCTTGCTCCTTGTGGCCATAAACAAGTCTGACACTGCCTACCAAGCAGCTTTCATATGTTGTCTGAAGGTCAGCAAACCTTCTTTCCAGATCCAGAGGCATCACCAGATGAAATCAAAGTCAAACAAGGCCCTTTCTTGCCCTAGAACAGCAATTCTCACCTTGTTTTAGCACATCTGGACACAGCTTTCACAGATCATGAGTGCTGGAAGGGACTTAAGCTCATCCTGTTCTACTCCCTGCTATGGGCAGGGACACCTTCCACTATCCCAGGTTGCTCCAAGCCCTGTCCAACCTGGCCTCGGACACTATCAAGGATGGGGCAGCCACAGCTTCTCTGGGCACCCTGTACCAGGGCCTCACCACTCTCACAGGGAACAATTTATCAAAGAAGAACATGTACTTCATGTTGGTTGTGCTCTCCAGCTTTTTTCTGGGCTCTTGCTGCCCAGGATATATCACATTCTAGCTCCACATGACACTTACGGATTTCTTCCATCACCACTGTGTTGTCCATTGCTATGTGTACTGCCAGGGAACTCCACGCATCAAAGGTTGCAAGTTTTCTAGAGGAAAATTAAAAACAAATAAGTAATGAAAGATGAATACAACTAGAAGGCAGAGACGGTGGTTTATCAGAGGAGGAAATGGATTAAGTGAGACTGGTGTTATCAGTTATGCTGTGCAATGTGCTTTGACCTGGGAAAGCTGCTGTTAGGCAATCCCAGGGGAGCTGCCTGCTCATCTACTGACGTGAGGGGAGAATGTGAGAGGAGGGAGGGTGTTACTAAAGGCAGAACCCTTCCAGCTCAGAAGTACCACACACCAACAGCCCCACTGCCTGATTCAACAGAGAAAAGGAAAGGGCAGCACTTACTTGAGCACCTGTGCCACCGTGTTTGGTCCGTACCACTGGCCTATGGATTTTCCCTCCCCGACTCCCATCTGGGCTGCATCACAACAAAAAAACAGAACAATGTAGTCAATAACTTCACCCACTTCCTAATCAGGTTTGTATTTAATAGGGAAGAATTCTCACTTGGAAACTTTATTGAATCAGCAGTATTTTCTGTTTCATGGGGGTGAGAAGGACATCCTGAAGGACTGCAGAGCAAATCCTTTCTCTAAAATGCAGCAGCACAGAAGTTCAAAGGGCAGTGCTGCCTCAGAAGAATCTTTACCCAGTGTTTGATGACTACACCACCCCTGTGACCTGAGTTCTGTTCACCCCACAGGAAACACTGGAACAAGCTGCTTCTCTGATTTTTCAGGGAAGTTTGTATCAAGGTGAGAGCCTTTCTTAGCCCATTTGCTACATCTGAGCATTTCTTTCCTCTTACCTATCTGGTGAATGGAGTAGTAGCTGTCTTTTTTGTCAATGAAGGCATTAAGAACATTGAAGTAATTATCCATCTGCCTCTTCCCTTTTATCCACCTCCAGTCTAGGACAGACAAGGGATATATGAAATAAACATGGTACTTATTAGCAACCAGAGGCTGCAAGCTGCAATTCTCTTGCTGTGTATTGACCAACTCAATTATCACATTGTCATATTATTACTAAGCATCAGAGGCATTCCCAACAGTAAAGGGATAATTTTAAAATAACAGAAAACATTCTTACAGCTGGGATAAGATACCATCACCCATACAATAGCAAATAAACAAGCAAAAAATCAGAAAATCCAAAAATCCCTGGAGATTTCCAAGCCCCGAACTTGAGAAGAGTGAAGAAAAAGTTACAGAACCCTCAGCAATTCCCAGCTGCGTCCTTGTTATCTCTGTTCTTCCCTGGGAGCACATGGCCCTGGAAATCAGTGAGGGCTGTGCACTGGTTTACCTCTTCCCAAATGCCTGCAGACCAAGGCCTGAGCAAAGATCATCTGGCCACAGCGCAGCATGCAGCCCCAGCCCGTGTCAGAGGTGGGACCAGTTCCTCCTGGAAACAAGGACAGAAAATAAACAGGCAATGAATGGTGAGACAGTGCCAAAAGGGAGGAGAATGAATGGGCAGCAGGTTCACCAGGAGACAAGGCAGGGAAAGAGGACTAACTTAGTTCACACACCTGAGGCTGAGAACCAAAAATGTGGTTTTCAATGAGTAACTTAGTCGCATCCCTTAAAAACAAATAAATAAATTCCTCTAACACTAACTGAAAGGGGAAAAAAATCCGAGGGAAATCCAAACAGCTCAAGAAAGAGCTGTATTTCTCAGGAGAACAAAAGACATTGAGCCTGGCTGCAGACTCTCAGCCCAATTCAGACACATTCCGACACGAAGGTGCTTGTTAAAGATGACTCTTGTAATCCTCATCTTGAGAAGGCAACTCATCCTGCAGAACAAGCCAGACCCAGGGAATTCCCACATCAGAAGTGGCCACAAATAACATTTCAAAGTGAACAATGTAGTCAGACCAAGAAAACAAAGTCTTCAGCCAAAAAAACCTACCCAAGCAGTGAAAAAAAGACACAACCTACATATTGTTGGATAAAGCTGGCTATCAGCTCATGCTGGACAGCCTAAGACAAAGGACACAAGGCTGAAAGCATTTCCCTGACAGATCTTCCAAATGAAACTCCTGCTCCTCCACTCCAGCTCTGGCTGTTACTACACACAACAGAGATCAAATGTTCAGTGGGATCGCAGTAGGTAATCTGTGCCTGGGCACAGCTTCTGCTAGCCTTTGTAATGCTGCTTTCTTCTTTTGGTCCTAAATGGGAGAAAAATCACCTGGAGGACTATTTAATCAGCTTCTCAATGGTCACTAGTTGTCTTCTATAATTTCACCAGTAATTCATAACATATAGAAATTCCAAAAGTGATAATGCTTTACAAAATTAGCATCAGACAGTTCCCTAACCCTTACACTAATTAAGTGGGCTAGCACAGAAGGAAGGGATGAACAATAACAGGGGTGACTGGGAGAAAAAATACTGAAAAATGTTTACTGTGTATGACACGCAGATCATATTTATGGTGTAGATGGGAAATTACTCTGAAAATGGGGTCTGTCTTCACCCCACAGCCTCTAATGACTCACAAGGAAACCAAAATTGTGTCTGTGAGCCAGTTAAACATGTGCTAACCCTTTGTTCTCAAACATATGTTTAATTATGGTGCACAAACATAAATTTAAAGGGATTAAACTGCATCAAAGATGTCTCAGAGCTTGTGAGGCAGAGGGCTTCCCAGCAGGGAAAGAACAGCACAAGCCAGAAGGACCAGTTATGAAGAAGTTTCTTTTCCAAAGCTGAGCCGTGCTTCTTTCCCACTGACTGCTGGGTGTGACAGTGACAGAAGGGGGACATGGGTAGGCCTTGGAGTCCCATTTACCTGCTCTTGGATCTCCTCAGATACACCTTGCACCCAGCACACAAACAAAAACTCCAGAAGAAGCCATGCAGAGTATCTTAAGGAACCCAGACACCCTCCTTCAAGCTCACTGGGAAACATTTTCCTATCACTACAGCTCCTGTGTGTAACAGACACTTCAAACACTTAACTCCCCCCTAGACAAACAAAACCCCCACACAGAGCCTGGAGCAGATGCACAAAGGCAGCAATTTCTGTATCACTCTCTAGGTTTTATAATTTTAATCCACTTCAAGCCCAAGACCATCATTCAGTAATAATTCACACTAGACTGATGTAGGATGTGAAGTACAAAAATCCTCCCATGTTGCCTAAAAAAGAGCAGACTTCCCAAACTCCTTCTTGTGTTCCTTTAAGAACCATTTCTATCCCTCCTACCCAAGGGGATGAAGAATTCTCATTATCAGGTAAACAAAGAGTCTGTCTAATCAATTGGATGAAGCATATTTCACACTCTTATGAATGGAATGATGCCATGTTTGTGGGGACTGCTTCATTAGGGATAACTGGACTATAATAATTTCCAGGATGTCTTTAGACTCCTCCAGAGTACATACCAATAGCAGGGAAGTTCTTTCTGTAGGTGAACCAAAGCCGAGAGGTCACATCCAACAGGATCTCTTCCTTCTCTGGAAAGTGTTCAACATGGAAAGGCACACACATGAGAGGGGCACCAAGACTGCTAAACCCACCTCCCACTCACCCTCCCAAGGAACTCTGCTCCTCACAGTCTGCAGGCCCAGAGAGGCACAGTCTGGCTGAGGAACACAGCAGTACTGCTTTGCACAAAGTACTTCTTTTCCCCCTCAAAACAGCTGCCATCAACTCAAAGGCACTATGGCCACAGGCAAATTATGAAGCAGCAAACCATCCTTCTGCCCCCTGCCTCCACCATTCAGCCCTCACGACATGTCCCCACAACTCCCATATGGTAACTTTCTACACAAAAATATTCCTGAGTCCACAGAAATGGCCAGACAGAAGCATAGCAGCTAAAACCCAAGTGCAATGCTAACAAAGTCCTCTGGAGCCTTAAAACATTGCACTGTGCACACAGAATACCTGTAAAAACACTGTATTTCCGGCCAAGGATCCAAACAGGTTCTTTGGTCTCAGGGAAGTCTTCATACTCAAACCTGAGGGTGTCGTAGGTAAGAGTAGCTAAAAAGAGAAAGGAGAAATCACAAACCTTTGCTAGCTTTTCCTTTTGTTTTTAAAACCAGACAAAGCTACAGAATCAGAGCTGCTGTGGTCCAGTGAGTCCCACCCACCCCCAAAGCCCCTGGGCTGGCAGGAAATGTTCCAGTGCCCTGTACCCATCAGCTGTGGGAGGCACAGAGGTGTCCCAGCCCTGGCTCGCTCCTGGCTGCTCCACAGGCAGAGAAGGAGCAAGATTTCCAGGTTAAGCCAGCTCCAGGTTCTGCCTGGGGCAGAAAACATCTAAAGCTCCACCTGGCAGCTACACCATTTACCAAAACAGGCACTATCATGCATGCCATCAGCTACAGCATTGATGTTGAGGGCCACTTTCCATCGAGCAAAGTGGTTAAAATCCTCTTGCAGGAAACACAAATTTTGAGGGAAGAACATGCAAAACACAGATCACCTTAAGGTGGAAACTAAACCTTGCTCAGTCCCTCCTCAAGAGGCACCAAACCCAGCGGCAGCCTTTACAGGTGTCACCCCACAAAGTGAAGGAACACAGCTGTGAAGATGTGCTCATGCAAAGGTGACAGGCAGAACTTTTGTCTCATTTACTGGCTCCCTTCACAGCATGGCATCCATCAGTGCCTAAAAATCCATCCCCTTCCAGGACCTGGACAGAACAACCCAGCAACCCAGGTTGCCCTTGGATCAGGACAGCTTCAGCTGTTGTGCACAGGGTACAAACAACAGGGAGGAAAAACCAGAGGAGCTGGATGAGCTGTGCTCCACTGCATCTGTGTTTGGAAACACAGACATTAAAGTAACCTGGGAATTCTGGAAAAGATTCACATGATTTTACAGGTGCCAATTCTGTAACAAACCACCTCTACAATTTAAAGCAGACCTAAGGCAGACTGATCTGTAACAGTTAAAGTAGTGACTGAAAACATCTCTCACAGCAAATGCAATAAAATCTGTGGTAATGTGACGTGAATTTAAAGCAGGACAAAGGAGTACACGGCCACAAGTTCCTGTCAGCCCAGTTCTCTGCAAAAACCACCCCTCTCCATGGGACACACCTTGCTTTTGGCTTCTGCAGAGGAACCTGCTGCTACATGAGACACTCTGGCCTCCTGAAGCAGCTCAGCCTTCCAATGCAGGCTCCCTGACCTGGAATTCCAATTCCAAATGTCCAAGAAAACATTCAAGCAGATACCATCACTAAGACAAATAAGCAGGAACCCCGGCAACAGAAATGACAACAGGCTCCCAAATCAAATTTTGCATCAGACTCTGCCTTAATTCCAGCCCACAAGACTTAAAGCGCGTTCTTTGTGTGAATTAGTCTTTAAGACTGTTCCAAGCACCTTTAGGATTGCACAGAGCACATATTCCCATTGCCACCCCATTATGTGACTCCTCAGCAAGCTAAACAAAACAATTCTGCTTGCACAGAAATATCCCAACAAATTACTGCTGCAGTCTTCTCCTCTAACAAACTTCAGCAGGGAAATGAAGGATTTCTTTCCCATCTCCTACCCAAACTTGGAAACGTCCAGATTTGAAAAGGTAACTGACATGATCTTCACAAAAATACTGGAGTTCTCAAAAAGATTTTAAAGCTCCAAGGGACATTCTGTGGTTTACTTTGTCAGTTCCTAAGCCTGCCATGTATCCAACTCTGTCAGGAGTCTCAAATAGCTTAAAGAAAATGAGTGGAACAAGGATGCTACTGAGGAACATCAAGCTATCCACAATCCCTCCTTCTCCTTCCCAGCAACATTCCCTGACCTGCTCAAATATCACAAGCTCTGCACCTGCACAGCTTGCAGGGCACCAGGTCTTTAGCAAAGACAGGATTTGCAATTAGACACTTCAGAGCAAGGAGCAGCAGCTGGAAAGGAGCTGCTGGAATCCTTCCCCTTCCACCAAAGCTCAGAGAGGAAGGGCTCAGCAGATAGAGGGGGATCTCCAGCTGGACCAGCCAGGTGTTCAGGGAATGCAGCACACATGTCATGACACAGCACACTGGGGAGGAGAGTCCCAGGCTTGCAGCCCTTCAGCTGGATGCCAAACATCTGGCTCTGCACGAGGCCCTGTGTGTCCAGCTGTGCATCTCAAAGAGGTGGTCAGACATTCATGTTGGGATTAGGGGGAGAAAATAGTTGAAAAGGCACGACTACCAAATGCAGGAGTTCAGGTTTCCCTTTCACAGGGAAGAAATTGAAGAGGTTGCTCCCAGTTAGTATCAAGGACATTATAATGGGAGCAGTAAACTCCCCACAAGGCTGGAGGTCACCGAGTGTTTCCTTTACAAGCCTCCACCTTCATATATTCCAGCACTTTTCTGAAGTCCATCTATCTATCGTGCTATTGCCCAGATGGGCTAAATACCAGACAGTGGGACCCAAGAAATTCAGGCAGGGCACAAAGAACATCACAGCCTGCACAGGAGCCTTTCTCTCCTTCTTATAGCCAGAGATGAAGACAAGAAATACATCTGGAAATTCACCAAGCAGAAATCCTGTTTGAAGCTGCTCCTCTCAGAGCTGCAGAAGCTGGGTGAGATCAGCACATTTCTCAGGCAGTGCTCCAAAAGTTCACCTTCAGAAAGCCCTCGGTCTATTTTAATTACCGACCTCTGAGCATCCAGGACAGTGGAGCAGCAGTTCCTGCAGAGGAGGATGTTGCAGTCTCTGCACATCAAACACAACAGTTCCACTTCACACGGTTTTTTAGTGAAAATGCAGAGTGTCAGCCTGCACAGCTCACCCTGAGAAAGGCAGCCTTGCTTTCCAGGAGCCCTGAGCACACGGGGAACGAGGGGAGGCTGGCTGGATTGCTGCCCCATGGGGACACCTTCCATGGGATCTGCAGAACACTTCATCCCAGAAAGCCTCAGCAGGAATGCAGAGCTCTGTAAATGCCACAACAGAATTCCAGAATGGTTTGGCCTGGAAGGAACCTTAAGGCTCATCTCATTCCACCCCCTGCCATGGGCAGAGACACCTTCCAATAGACCAGGGTACTCCAAGCCCCATCCAACCTGGCCTGGAACAATTCCAGGGATGGGGCAGCCACAGCTTCTCTGGGCAACTGTGCCAGGGCCTCAGCACCCTCACAGGGAACAATTCCTTCCCAATATCCCATCAATCCCTGCCCTCTGGCAGGGGAAGCCATTCCCCCTTGTGCTGTCCCTCCATCCCTTGTCCCCAGTCCTTCTCCACCTCTCCTGGAGACCCTTTAGTCACTGGCAGGGGCTCTGAGGTGTCCCCAGAGCCTTCTCTTCTCCAGGTGACCACCTCCAGCTTTCCCAGCCTTTCCTCAAAGGAGATGTGCTCCATCACCTCAATATAAGAACAACTCTCTAAACACACAGAATTAGGGTAGAAGGTGAAATCTTCTCTCCTTTTTCATAGTCTTAATCAGCACAATGAAACACTGGGGATATAAACATTGTCCCAACCTGCAGCAAACACACCCAGAGGCACAGCTGGGCGCTGGGAGCAGCCCCTGTGTGCTGCTGTCAGTTTGCAAACCTGCTGCAGGCCAGGCCAGCCAGTGAGGGATGCTAACTTCATCTCCCACAGCACAGCCAAAGTAATTTGTTTCCCCACCAACTCTGGGAAACAAGTAACAACAAGTGAAGGCTTGGGTGACTCAAACACAAACATGGCAGGTGATTTTCCCAGCACCTTCAGTTGTGCTGAAGAACTTCTCACACAAAACACAGAAGCTGAGCCTTGGAGTGTGGCACTGAAGGAAAGCCAGGCTTTGCCACACCTCCCTTCCCAAACTGGTCCTGAGGTTTCTCCATTATCTGAAAAGGCCTGGATCTCATGCCTTGCCAAATCCTTTAGACTGCAACTAAGGCCACCACAAAAGGATCAGAAATGAGGGGGGTGATCTCTCCTTTAGCTGATATAGGTACCTCACCCAAGGCACAGGAGGATCACAACTGGATGTGGAACGTTTCAGATACAGTCAAAAAGAGAAGGTAAATTTACCACTTTATAAAACGCATTGCTGCAAAACACCAAACAGTTCAAACCCTTACTTCCGGCCTTTGCAGAAGAAAGATTAAATCTTTTCTTTCCTCCAAGCTCTTTCAAACAGACAAATCCTGATTATCCGAGCACCAACGAGGAGTTAAGAGACAGACAGCAAGGAAAGTCAGGCTACTGAAGGGTGGTGCTTTCTTGAAGGCCTGGAGCAACCAGTTCAAAGTTATGCTGTCAGCTCCCCAACCATCTCTGGAACAGGGCTGGACACCAAGGGGCTTGAGCCCAGAGATTCTCCTCCTCTCACAGAGAAGATCCAGCCCCACCATCCAGCACAGCAAAGTTTTCCTTTCCCCTCACGCCAAGGGAAAGCAAACACATCTCCCGGATCAGGGGTGCAAGTTCGCTCAGTGTGACACTGGATCCGGGGACGCTCCCAGCCGGCCCACGCCGCCACCAACAGCGGCACGAAGGCAGAAACCAGCCAGGACAGCCCCAGGAGAGAGGGATCGCGGCACACCGAGCTCGGCCATGCGGAGGAGGAGCCCAGGCGCACAGGGAGCGTTTGTCACTGTGGAACAACTCTTATCTCTGCCGAGGGGGTGGAAGCCGCTACTACGCCAAGGCTGGAGGGAAGCGGGTCCCAACACAAGTGCCAAACGCTTATTTTTACTTTACCCCGCACGAAACCTAAATCTCTACCACAAGCAGCTTTGCTAGAGCTCTCTGTGAGGGTGATGAGTAGCTGAGGCGCCTTCTTACCCCCCGACGACGCCTTCTCAACGCTCCAAAGCCACGCTCTTACCCCCAGGCTGCCTTCTCGCCCCTGGAGCGCTCATGGGGCGCGGGGCACAGCGACCCCAGCCCGCTCAGGCTCCCCCCGGGCACACCCGGCCCGGCGGCAGAGCCCCGAGCTTTCCGGGAACCCCGGCAGCAGCGGGGCTGGCGAGGGGAGGAGGGAGTCGCCGCCCGACTCCGGCCTGCACCATCCCACCCCGGCGGCCGCGCAGCCACCGCCTTCTCCTCGCCCCACCGCGGGGGCGGCCGGGCCCCGGAGGGCCGCGGCTCCCAGGGCCGTGCCCAGGGCGGAAAGCGGCGCCTATCTCCGCCGCCCGTCGGGGCGGCCGCGCCGGGGAGCCGCGGGCCTCGAGCGGCCGCCGGGCCGGGCCGGGCCGGGCCGGGCCGGGCCGGGCCGGGCCGGGGAGCCCCGAGGGGAAGCGCGGCCGCCGCGCCGCGGGCAGGGCCCGCCCGGACCCACCTGCGTCCATGGCGGCCCCGCCGAGGCTGCGGCCGCCGCCGACTCGCACGCCCGGCGCGGCCCCGCGCGACTGCTGGCGCGACGCGCCGCTCCCGGCCAATGCGAGCGCCGCTCGCAGACGGCCCCCGCGCCCATTGGCTGCCGCTGGTTTCGTCACAGCTCAGCGCCACGCACCGCGGTCTGCGGACAGGGAGCTGCCATGTTGCCGTACGGAGAGGCAAAGCGGAGCGCAGGGCGGCAGCGGGCCGGCGGTGGGGCCGGAGCTGGGGCTGGAGGGCGGCGCAGAGTGTGAAGGCTCCGCTCCTTGCCCAGAGCGCCGACAGGCACGTCCCGTGACACGTGTACCTAGGAATGGTGTGTTAAATGGGCACCGCCATCGTGCTGTACGGAGACGGCCCAGCCCCGCCCCTCTGTTCCCCGTGAGAGTAACCTCCTCTACCATGCCCGCCCCACTCGGAGACGCCTTTCAGGGCTCGGCTGCCACGGACCGAGAGGCTCGTCGGGAGGCGGACGCCCAGCTGCGCCGACGAGGCAAGCGAGAGGCGCAGGGAGCGAGCTCTCCCTTCCCCACCTTCCCCGCGCCGTACAGCTGCACCCCGACCAAAATGGCGGCGGCCATGTGGCGGCCGCCATGTTGTGCCGTACAGAAACCCCTTCCCCACCGGCGAGGGGCGCCGGGGTGACCCGGCTCCGCCATCTTGCCGTACGGCGGCGCGGCGGGGCCGGGGCCGGGGCCGGGGCGGGGGCCGGGGCGGGCCCGGCCGGCCGAGGGCGGCGGCGGCGGTCGGAGATGGTGATCTGCTGCGCCGCCGCCAACTGCTCTAACCGGCAGGGCAAGGCGCGCCACGGCGCCGTCTCCTTCCACAGGTAAGGGCGGCCCGCCGCAAGTGCCGCGGCCGGGCCGCCCGCGTCCCGGTCCCGCTCCCCTCCCCGGGCCCCCACGGCAGCCACTGCCTTTGTTTCCCTCAGGGGAGACGGGCTCGGGGCTCCCGGATCCTCCAGCCCGGCCGGCAGCCGGAGCGCCCCTCGCCACGGGGCCCGGCCCGCCCGGCCTGTCACCCCGACCCTCCCCGGGCTGCGCCCCCGCTCCGCCTCAGCCCTCGCCGGGGATGCTGCGGCCGGGAGTCCCCGGGAACAGCCCTGCTCGGGCGTCCCGGTGGAAACAGAGCCTGGCTGCCCTGCTCAGGGGCTTCCTTCCGCTGCAGGCATTTCTACACCTAATTAAATGTTACTGAACACACCCGGGGTGAGCAGCAGCCGGCTCGGCGTGCTGGCTGAGCTGAGTGTTTTGGTGGTGGGCACGTCCCCCTTCCCTGTGGACAGGCTGTTCCTCGTGGGGGTGGTGAGCGGAATAATGGATCGATTGCTGATGGAAATGGAAACACCTTTTAGTCCTATGCTTGTTGTGAAGTGGAGCTGTTGATGCGGTGAATGAATACCAAATATTTCAGCCCAAAGTGAAATTATTCTTAAATGAGTGTCATTTAATTCGTAAATGAGTGTAACTTACCAAAACACAACTTTCCCCAAAATCTCGTAAACCTAGCCGCTGCCTTAGACTTGGTCACCTTAAAGGTCCTTTCCAACCTCAACAGCTCTATGATTCCGTGGTTCTGTAATTCTTAAAGTAACAACCCTTCTGGTTTCCAAAATGTAGCTTTTTTTTTGTGGGTTTTCTCTCTTCCTTTTTTAGATTCCCTCTAAAGGATTCGAAGCGCTTGATTCAGTGGCTGAAAGCTGTTCAGAGAGACAACTGGACTCCCACCAAGTATTCCTTTCTTTGCAGCGAGCACTTCACCAAAGACAGTTTTTTCAAGCGGCTGGAAGACCATCACCGGTTGCTGAAGCCCACTGCTGTCCCCACCATCTTCCAGCTCGTGGAGAAGAAGCACGACAAGCTGGATTATGTCAGGAGCCGAAGGAAAATAGCCAGGCAGGTGCTGGTGCAGGATGGGGAGGCCCCGCAGGAAGGAGGCGGTGAGGTAGCACACAGGGCCCCATCTTCTGGCCAGGACTTCATGCTGATGCAAGGGACGAAAGAGATGGAGGAGGCTGGTCTGAAAGAGGAAATAGGATCGATGTCCAAGGAGGACCAGGCCCTCCACAGCCAGCTGGACGGCCCGCGGAGAAGGACGTTAGGGGATCATTTGGGTGCGAAGCCTGGGGCGCAGGTAAAGCCTGAGAGGTCTCCCACAAAGGACTGTGCCAGGGGCAGCTGGGCAGGGAGCTGGGTGGCCGACAGGAGCGGCGTGTCGGTGGACGACTTCACCCCTCCTGCCTCTGGTGCTTGCAAGTTCATCGGCTCCCTCCACTCGTACAGCTTTTCCTCCAAGCACGCCAGAGAGAGGCCGTCTCTCCCCAAAGAGCAGCTAGAAAGGAAAAGGCCAAAGAGAGACGTGGAACCGAGCTGCAGCAGCCACCTCTTGGGTCAGGACAAGGCGGTCGTGGAAGTCTCCCCGACGTCATCTCTCACCGCCACCCCCCAGAAACCCTCCCAGGGCCTGTCGGCGTCCCCGGCAGACCTGACCCCTCGGCCCGCCACCGAGGCCGTGCTGGGGCGGAAGGGGGACACGGACGCCAACCCCATGTCCATCAACGAGGTGATCATGTCGGCCTCGGGGGCCTGCAAGCTCATCGACTCCTTGCACTCGTACTGCTTCTCCTCCCGGCAGAGCAAGAGCCAGGTGTGCTGCTTGCGGGAGCAGGTGGAGAAGAAGAACGGAGAGCTGAAGCTCCTGAGGCAGAGGATCAGCCGCTCCGACAGCCAAGTCAGGAAGCTGAAGGAGAAGCTGAACGAGATGAAGCGGAACAGTTTCCCTTACTTGAACAGCCTGATATCCCAGGACTGTGGTCAGTATTCCCAGCAGTGCTGCACTGAGGTGGAATTCCCTCTTTTCTTAGGGGCTGTTTAAGCTGGAGGCTGTGAAGGTGTGATGGGGAAAAAGTATAAGAAAGGCACACTCTGGGAAGGAGAAGTAGCAGCCTGTGTAAGACCAGTGGATGCAGGTTAAAGAATTCACTCAGTGAGCACACAAGTTAATTTTTACATCCCTAACCTTTCCAAGATGTGGAATGGGAATTTAGGTTGTGGTGTTGCAGGTGACTCTCTTGATGAATCTATTTTCTTTTATTTCTGGATTATTTTAACTTGTTTGTGATGCAGTGGCTCCTGTTAGGATTTTCCTTCTTCCTTTGGTACATGTCTGTGATTTTTTTCTGGTGTGTTAATGAGCTGTCCTAGCAGCAGGTATCTGGGAAAGCTGTTATTGCCTTCAGTGGCATAGGAAGTAGTTTTGATACTGGATTTCATATACTGCACTCAGTTCTGAGGATACAGGAAATATAAGTGAGGTGGGAGGTATCAAATATGACAGTGTCGTGATGCAGGTCATGTAGAAAGTTTGTTGCCTAGAAGTTAAATTGAGCCATAACTCTTCTTGTAAAAAAAAAAAGGTGTCTTTTAATGTACAATGTGTGTACAGTGACTGGTTGCAAAGTGCATTTCAGGGCAGGAGTTTAGGACCATCTAATGGTGGTGTGTGTGTGTGTGGCTGCTGAAAAAACACTGGTTATAAAGGTTTTGTGATGTGGGGCTTGCTTGGAGAAGTCACCTGTGGAGGTTTGGGTGTCTCCTGATGGCTAATTCTCACCTTTCCCTTAAGGAGAAAAACTTCATGGCTTCTTCTGGAGCTGTTGGGCAGTCACAAAGGTGATGCTGGCATAGACAGGCACCTTCTCCAGGCTGTTGCAGCATGGCAACTTCCTCACTGGAAGAGGAAAGTAGACTCTAAAATTCATGAAGGTCAACATCCAGCACTACTTTTCCCATGTGTATCTAATTTTTCAAAGTATGGGAAAACTCACAATTTTATTTGGGTAGAGGAGGGAAAAGTTTTCCCCTGGGAAATCAGCATAGTCTTGTTTGTACCTTCTGGTCTGAGGTTTTGTATTGTTTAGGTGTCAAACTAAACAAAATAACTAAATACAATTTTAGGGTTCCGTAGTTGTCATTCATATATATATATGTATGTATATGAAATATTTATTTATATATAGATTTTAAAAGTTGTCTGCCTGTGTTGGAATACCTTCAC